ACACACACACACACACACACACACACACACACACACACACACACACAGAGTCAGCTTCTGGAAAGGCTTAGGGAATGAAGATTCCAGAAGTGTCTTGGGAGAATATTGAGATGATAATTTTTCACATTTATGTGGTGTTCAAAGGTTTATATACATGTCCTCTGCATGACATCTCCAGCATGGCATAGTGAATTGAGAACTGGCTCCTGAGTCAGGAAGAACAGGGTTGGAGCCCTGCCTTTGACACTGACTGTGTGACCCTGGGCAAGTCACTTACCCTCTCAGTGCCCAATCAACTCCCTGAAACTCTAAGTGGCCAAAGGGTTGCTGATCTGCATTGGCAGAGGGAGTCTCCTCATTGGGAGTTCTCTACATTGATAAAATCACACATCTGGACCTCAAAGATTTAAAGAACACTTCCTTCACAATGCCTCGTGAGCTAGATAATGCAAGTATTCCAGATAGGGACTAGACTTGCGATTTCATTTGTATAGGGAACTATATTTTCGTGTAATACATAATATTTCTACGTACACTATAGATATGTAGGCAAGGAAGCTCCCTCTGCCAGTATAAGTCAGCACCTCCCTAGGCCCTAGAGCAGATATGTTACTGCCCCATAGCCCCATGCTGCCTGCAACACTGCAGCAAACTGAGTTAGAATGTAACTGGGAAATATTTAACAAAATAAATTAAACTGCAACATAACAAAGATAATATATTTTAAAACTAAGTCAATAGGTAGCCAGCAAGTGATCCTTATATTCAGATTAGTAGCCTGTTTCTTTTGGCCTAGAGTCAAAAGGTTAAATGACTTATCCAGGATCACATAGCCAGTTAAAGGCAAGATTTGAATTGAGGTCTTTTTGGCTCGGAGGCCAGAAAGTATCTATGCCATACTATCTCTTAAGTACTTTTATCCCCGTCTTAGGTAGGAGATTAGTTACTTGCTAATGAAAATAAACATGTTTATAGACCTAGCACTGTGACCTGGGGTTTAGGGTGACCAGGACATCCTGAGCTAACCAAAAAGAGATTAGAGGGGGTCAGTACCTAGGACCAGGGCCAGAGCCCTTTGGGTCAACTTCTTGCCCATATCCCATACCCTTCTCTCATTTAAAATGAGAATCAACAGCAGAGACAGACATCAGGGTCAGATTTCTCCAGAACAGGGTTTTTAACCTTTTTGGTGACCTAAGATTCTGCCTGAGGCAACTCAGTAGTGGTGCCTCAGAGAGGTGGAGAGATAGAGAGGTAGAGCTCTGGGTTTGGAGTCAAGATAGATCTGAGTTCAAATCCAGTCACAGACACTGTGTAACTCTGGGCAAGACATTTAATCTCGATTTGCCTCAATTTCTTTATTTGTAACAGAGGGATAACAATAACACCTATTTACAAGGATCAAATGAGATAACAATTGTAAAGCATTCAGTACAATGCCTGGCACCTAGTAAGTACTATATAAATGTCAGATATTATTTTTGTTTTGAGCCCCTTCTCAGAGTGATGTTTTAAAAAGAATCATAATTGAAAAAAAATGCTAAACTTTAAGTAGAGAGCAGTGAAAATAAAAATACGTTTTTTCCCATCCAAGTTCACAGATCCCCGGAAATCTAACAACCTTTGCTTTAGATGGTAACAGGTCCTCGATCTCTGAAAGTATCTGAAATACTTTTTGTTTGGGGGTGGGGTGGGGAGAAATCAATGTCCTGAGCCCCTGCCCCTGGACATTCTTCAAAGTGGCTTAGATTCCAGGAGATAGTTTTATTCTGATGTCATTCCAAAGGGAAGATCAGAAAACTCCTAGGATATTCTCTAGCCTTCACCTGCCTTTTTCTCATAATCTTTGTCTCCACCCCATTGAAGAAGGGACCACTGAGGTCATCTAATCCATTCTCCACATTTTACAAGTGAGGAAGCTGAGGCCCAGGGAAATTAAATGATTTGCCTAAGGTCACGCAGGCAGTTAAGTGTCAGAGACAGCATTTGAACTCGTCTCCCTACACCAAATCCCCGTGTTCTTTCCACCATACCATCCCGCCCC